TGGATTTTTTTATTATTGTTCCCCCTTCTTCCCCAAAAACAACTTCTGAACTTTGCTTACCTAAAGAAAGAGAGATACTGAGTGGTTCTAGAAGGCAAGCTGGCAAAAACTATAAAGTAGGAGGTACTCACAGTAGTAGCCCTGAACTCAGATATGGAGCAGGAGCTATTTTAAGTTCTAATAAACTTCTTCCACTGTTTTAAATAAAGAGCAGGAATTTGTTAACAGTGAATATCCACTAATGAAGACAGTAAATGCTAAAGCCATTGGCTTTCTGATCACCTGAAGAAAGGAAACTAATGAAAGAGTTGATGCTTCTTACAAAAAAAAACCTGTCAATTGGAACTAAGCTTGTCCTTCTTGAGGGTAGAGAAGTATGGAAACAAAGTAAGGGACAGAATGAACAGAAGCACTGGTTTACACCAAAGAAAATTAGGCTACAGCTAAGGGTAATCAGACTAGCAGTTACTTGCTTGTATTTTTCAGGGTAAAATGAGCAGCAGATCCTTTCCTCCCAGAGATGGTGCTCACCACACAAGTCACTTTCCTAGTGGCTTTCCTAGGCCTTGTGGAGGTGACAGCTGATCACAGCCATGCCTGGTCCCTCGTGTGGGCACCAAGGGGTGCCTCGTGGGGTGCTTCCAGCTGGCTGCTGAGGGGCTCAGGCAGCTTTCCTAGCAGCCATGTGCCTGCTGGGCTCAGGTAGGTCACAGTCACCACACTGGCGCGACTTACAACGCTGGAGATGCTGACGTGTTCATAACTTTCTCCAGGATGCTCCAACAGTGATGAGAGCCTTCCATTCTCACCTGTGTTTCTGAAAATGGGGAACCAGGATCCTCAGAAACAAAATGCTGTGGTGCCACTACCAATGTTGGACCAAGTAACTGTCTCATGGAGAAATGTGTCCACTAGTAGTTCTTCTGATGCCACACCATCTCCTGAGATGCAGCAGATGTCCTCTCCCAAACTGCATTACCTTATGGAATATTACAGTTCTCCTAGATTGTTAACTGCTTCTTAATACTTTCCTTTTTAAAACTTCATTTTTTTCAACTTGACATACACAATATCTTACTATTTTTGACAACTTCTTATGAAAAATATTTCTAATTGATTCCTCCACCTTGAAGAGAATGCTATTGGACTGTGGTGATTTGGGTTCACCAATCTGAATTTCCTGGCCAATGCACCAATTTATGCAGTGGGTCTGATGTTGGCCAAATGCCAGTGCACCTGCTAGAGTATATTTACTCATTTTTCTGCTGTGAGATATGAATTAGGAGGAGCGCAAAACAGGCTAAAACTTTAAAGGGTATAAAGAAAACTTTAATTTTTAAGGAAGGAAGGAATTAAAAGGAAAAAAAAAAAAAAAAGGAAATCAGAATAAACTTCCAGAACAGTTCTCCTCTCTCCCGCACCTTCTTTACTTTCCCACTGATAACGTAAAGAGACAAAACCTGGTACTTTCAGTCAGTTTACCACCTCTAAAATAGTCTTTCTTCAATTCTCTTAGAGAGAGGAGTCTCTCTTGCCATGCCATGGAGACTTCTCCACAAGAAACAGTTCTCTCATGGCTTTTAAATTCCATGAGTAGCCTGGAAATCTGCAATTGTGAAGTCCTTCCCATCTTCTGCAGCCTTCTTACGGCTGCGTTCATGGGTCACATCAACTTATTGGGGTGCTACTTTAAGGATGAGCTGTTCTAGCATAAAAACCAAAGTTCTTTTCATCCACCCATGGTTTTCTTCTATTCCTGGGGTGAAGTTTCTCATCTCTCTCTGTTCAAGCTTCTCATTGGATTACAGCAACTACAACATCTGCTTATTTCAACACTGGTGCTTCTGCTCAGGACTGTGGTTAGAATGCTACAACCCCCTAATGCATTTCATGAATTACAGGGAAAAAACAAAGTCTGATACACCAAATGTATCTTCAACCATAGCCTTACAAAAGAATTTCAGCCCAAAACTAAGGCATCTCTTCACTCCCCTCCCATCTACAATTTGGCTCCTTCTTCACTGACCTCAGTGTCCCATGTTGTTTTCTCTATGTGTCTTCATCCTTCCCTCTTCCTGATTCAGGAGAGAATTGTTCTTAGGTTCATTTGTTCTCAAGCTTTATCAATTGAAAGTTTCTGTAGAGTTCTGCAGTGCTGAAAAGTTGATCTCATCCAGGCTCTGCAATCGAGGAATTGCTGTCTTTCGCTGCCGGCACCGTGCGAATCGCAGTGGCTGCTGGCACCATCCCTACACCTTTCCATTGTGTGGGGCACCAGAAACAAGAAAAGCTGCTGCTGCTTCTTTTGTCCTTCTGCCCACAGCATGGCTGGCTGAAAGCAGCTAAGCAAAGTTCATCATGAGCCATGCCAAGATAGCTGCAGCTGCATGGCACTGCCCCGGTGTGCGATGGCAATTTCGGCTGTGCAGTCCTGGCCACGCAGCCACTCCTGGCCTTAGGGCCGCCCCCAGTGCCAACCATAGGGCTCTGTATGGTTGCTCTCAGCACTGGCTCCCGGTGGCAGCACCAGAAAAAGGACCAGGGGCTGGGGGCAGGAGCTCTGTCACCCCTGGGAAGGGGCCCAGCCCCACCAGGAAGGGGCCCCAGCCGCCCCACTGGGATGGGGCCCAGCAGGCTCGCTGGTGGGGGGCTTGGCAGCCTGCTCATCACCCCTCAGAGGGCAGAAATCTCAGCCCAGCTGTCCGAGCAGGACAGGGACATAGTGTCTGTGACCAGCACAAGACTCAGATACAGTCACAAAAGCTCTAAGAGTGGCTGGTGTTATTGGAGGTAGCACCTATACTCCTGGTGAAGCACATACCCTGGTAGGCACCTAAGCATGACACAGCTGCTTACTCACTACCCCTCAGTGGGCTGGGGGAGACAAAAGTAAGAAAAATAAGGAAACTCATGGGCTGAGTTAAAGACTATTTAATAGATAAGAACAAACAAGCAAAAAACTCCAGAGAACCCTGAAGTGATACCAAAAAACCCACTAGCTCAGCACTATCCAACTAATGCCTTGCCTGTCCTTGAAAGGCAGCAGCCCTGGCAAACTCCTTGCCCCCATCCCTAGTTTATATGCCAAGCATGACGTCCCATCACTGGGGGTCAGCTGTCCTGGCTGTGTTCCCTCCCAACAGCTCATGCACTCCCAGCCTCCTCACTGGTGGAGGCAGAAAAGGCCTTGATTCTGGCTAAGCTCTGCTCAGCAATAGCTAGAACATCCCCCTGTTATTACCATGTTTCCAGGAAAAACCTGAAGTGTACCAGCCGCTATGAAGAACATTTAACTCCATCCCAGCCACATCCAGTACAACCTTCATGACAGAGAAAAATATGAAGGCAAAACCTTACCCTTGTCAAAATTGAAAATCTTGCAGACAAAGTGACAAGGATTTGGTCTTTTTATGATATCTGGCATTACCTCCTTTCATATCAATAGTGGTTGTGTTGCTGATTTCCACCTTCACTGCTTACATTGTCACTCAAAGCTGCCAACTCACCCCAGCAAGGTTACAGAGGTAACCACTTCAGTCTCAGCAGACACTCTGAATTTCCATACTCCTTCAATTTCCACCTTCTTTTTAATTTTTTAAGGGTATCTGCAACATTTACAAGTGTTAGGAATAATTTCTGTTTACAGAAGCTCTGAAGGTGACAAATTAAATTCCTCTGTCACAGTATGTTTCTTTCCCCCAGTGTTCTTCCTACATCTTTTCAGAGCCCCATTGAGGCTGACCACTAGACCAGGGACAATTTTTTTTTTACATGACATGAAACTAATCCAAAATACACACTTGTAAAGCAAGCAAGACTAAAAGTCATGTTTCTTCCTTAAGTTAAGGGACTGCCATAGTATATTTTACTTACATCAACTGAAGTATACATCACAAAAGGTTAAATGCAGACATTCAAGACAATCCCAAGTATTAGATGGAAAATCAGTTACCTATCACTTAGAAATGTGAATTAAACCTTTCACAGAAATAGCACTTACAAAAAACTCGAAAGACTCCCTAGTTCACAGGTAAAGTTTAATCAATTAAAAAAAAAAAAAAGCAAATGATTAGGCACAGTGAATGGATTACCTCAGGCTGGCAGCTGGTCACCAGTGGAACTCTACAAGGCTCAATTTTAAGGCCAGTGTTCTTTAATGGAGATAGATAAGTCAAATGTACACTGAGTGCATTTGCTGGTGATACTAAATTGAGAGGAGCTGTAGACTCCCTCAAGAGTAGAGAAGTCCTGCAGAGAGATCTGAACAGACTAACAAGCCAGGGGGCAATGACCAACTGCATGAAGTTTAACAAGGGCAAGTGCCAGATTCTCCACCTGGGACAGGACATCCTGATTATTCTTAAAACTTGGGGAATGAGGAGTTGGATAGCAGCCATGCACAAAGAGATCTGAGGGTCCCAGCTGATGGCAAATTCAGCAGTGCCCTGGCAGCCAACCCTGTCCTGGGGGGCATCAGGCACAGCATGGCCAGCCAGGCAAGGGAGGGGATTGTCCTGCTCTGCTCTGAGCTGGGGCAGCCTCACCTCCAGTGCTGGGAGAAGCTTTGGGAGCAACAATGTAAGGACATAAATCTATTTGTGTGCCCAGAGTAGGGTGATCAGGGTGGTGAAAGGAGGAGCCTGGATGAGACTGAAGGGTGACTTCACTGCATTCTACAGGCTCCTCAAGGTGGCCAGGAGAGGGGCAGGCAAAATGAATTCTCTCTGGTGAGCAATGACAGGACTCCAGGAAATGGAATGAAACTGCATCAGGGGAAGTTCATACTGGATATGAGAGGGTGGTTAGTCACTGGAACAGGCTCTCCAGAGAAGTGGTACAGCCCCAAGTTTGCCAGAGTTCAAGGAGCATCTGGACAATGTTCCTAGTGGTTCACTGAGGAGCAGGGAGTTGGACTCAACCAACACTACAGGTCCCTCCCAACTTGAGATAGTCTATGATTCTGTGACTGTGAATTTAGGTCTTACTTTACAGAAAAACACTTGAAAACTTGGATATTTTTATAATGGTAAACTTAACCAGGCTTCTAACAAAGGAAACTCCTAACAAACTGTACAGTAACAATGGAGATTTTTAATAAAAAATATATTACACACGATTTTATTAATTTTCCCATTAGCATTTCTAACCCAAAGTAGAAACTCCTATGTTACATCCTGAAGGCTCTCAGTCCTGTAAGCAAGTAGTGAAGTGCTGTAGTGATGGTTCTGCATCAGAGAACACTTCTACTGATCTCAGTAAAACCAGGTCGTTGCCAGAAGGGGCGGGTCAGGTCTCACTACTATGTCACAACAGTTTGCCTCTTTTCCCCTTTCTCTCTCCCCAAATTAGCATCCTGTAGGATCCATGAGCTGATTCCCACTCACTGTGCAGCCCACACAATCCCAGGTGCTAACAAGGGTAGTTGCAGGTCATCTCTTTGGAGCATTGTGAACTCTTAAGAAAAGCCAACTGCAAAACTTCCCCTTACTGACAGGAGAACTAACCAGGTATCTCAGGAATCTGATGCAACGCATATTTAATATACCATATCAAGATTTGCATGTGTAATACACTGTGATACACACAGTACCTTGTACATGCAAAATCATTGCCACTTTGTGTTTCTGCACACCATTCTGATGAAATCTGGAAATAGTGAGTTTGGTTATTAGTCCTTTTACAGAGTTTCACATGTTGTAAATGTGAATGTATACAAAACAATCACACTTACATCTTTGCAATTGTAATTCAAATTATCCCTTTCCTAAAACATTCATAAAAATCCAGTATCTTAATAAATTTATTTGTTATTTATTATATAAATTTATTTTGGGCTTCCTCATCCATTGTTCCCAAAACTGCAAATCAGGTCAAAAGTGGTGCCAGACACTAACCAGAATCACCTAGGTTTGAAATGAGTGAATCTGAGGACTTAGGGATAAACTTTGTATTGCACCTAATCCAAAGCAACCTGGGTTTACTGGAGAGATGGTCCTGCTCACTTTCCTTGCCCATCCTCAACACTCCAATTCCTGCTCCTTCTTGAAGTTGGAAATAAAGATTACACACAGCATCCTTATTATTAAAACTGATGAAGAAAAGGCTTGAGAAGTTGTAAGTGGGGAGAGCGACAGAGTAGGAAAAGTGACCTTTCCCTGCTCAGTGGCTGCTACAGCTACATTCTGTACAGTGTATTCAAAATAGAGCAAACAGTAACAAAAAATGGAATCCATCTTACATAATACTGCTTACTAGCAATGAGTCATGATATGGAAAACACCAAAATTTAACAGGCATTTGTAGAACCTGCAATTAGAACATGAATACAGCACTTCTTACATCAAGAAGTTAATTGCTCTGGCAGTTAGAGACTAGAGATAACCCTTAGTGTAATTTTATGGAATGTATCTAAATTTTTAAATTAAACCAGAATAAATAATTTAAATCGTAATTGTGACCAATTTTGCAAGTTTTCCCTTCTTATGGTATGTATGTGAACAAGATATATTTGTGCATAACTTGAGGAATGAGAGCAGCTTCATGTATTTTAATTGAAAACAATGTTTCAAGTTACACTTATAAGCATCAAAACATAAGTGTACAGACAACAGATCATTTTTTTCAAGGTAACTGTGTAATGTTTCAAAAATAGTTTGTTGCTTTACAGTATTTTTGAAAAGAACATCCTTTCAACAAGAACAGGTAAGATGATTACAATTGTGGAGAACACAGTGGACAAGGGAACAGACACCTGAGCTGTTACAAAGGAGCGCAGGCCTTGGGTTCAAACTTCAAACAAGAGCTCCCCTTTCCCCACAAAAAGCAGATTTATGTACTGTGGCAGACACAATGCAGAGGATAAAAGCAAATTTTTGTCCTTAGTATGAGCCCTCTTTGAAGGACTCTGATATATCTTGGTTGGCAGCATCATACTGAGCAATGAAATGTTTGAGTTCTTCAACACATCGCTCACCTATTTCATGCAAATTCTGCCTCAGGGCAAACTGAATGGACTTCTCTAATGAAGGATCTTTATCAATTAGCATCTTCACTACCATGCCAAAGGTTTCACAGTCTTGTCTGTAGACCTAGAAACAACACATTGTAGAAAATTATTAAATGCAAAACTCTTTACATTAGCACAACAGCCCTTACTGAGTTAGATCCAAATGTAACAAAGGATACTGGATTTAACATGAGTTTCAGCTGTAAAACCTACTGGCCATTTCCTCTCTTCTAACCTGTGCTAATAAAAATTAAACTAGCTCAGCACTATCTGGATACCGAAAATAACTTTTATGGGATGAAATACCATAATAGAGAAATGAAGTTCCCCTTGCAGCAATATTTAATAAGTAACAGTAGAGCAAAGAACAAATGCTAAACCAGATTTTCTTCTCATTTCAATATATTTAAAATTAAACCGTGAAATGTCTAGCAATCTCAATCTTCATACACAGCACCAATAATTTAGTTTGTAATCTTTCCTAATGCTTTAAATGCCAGTTGTGTTTAAATAATTTCACAAAATTTTGTTTGTTTGTTGGATATCTGTTTCTTGTAGAAGTCCTTGATGAAGATGACTATAATTAGTTTGGATGCATTCGTGATTCAATCACCAATGAGTCAATCACAAAGATTAAAGATGCCAGATGCAGCTCATTTTCAAAACTCTTAGGCCAATTCCCATTTAGAAAATACATTAGCTTTTTGACTGAAGGTAAGTAAGTTTTCTATCTTCACACATTTTTTTTGAGGAAAAAAAGCTAAAACGTTGATATTTTTCCAAGTATGATTATCTTTTGGTATTGTCTGCTTATCTTTGAACTTGTGTTTCATAGAGCTGTGCAACCTTTTCCTTTCACATTTATCTGTATTATGGACAGAAATGATACAACGGTATGCAAGCAATTCCCCTTTACTAAAAATGAAAGAAAAATCCAAGCAAAACACCCCCATCCCTCCCCCAGTGAAAACCCACCCTAAGAACCCATTCATAAGAAACAGTTTGAGGTCAGCTCAAGCATCTTCATGTCAGAAAAACAGCAAAAAACCTTCTGTACAAAAAACTATTCTGTACAAAACTAAACTATTCTTAGAAATAGAATGATTATAATGATATATATAAGGTATCATTATAATGATACCTGTAATGAAGACAATTCTCAAATGCCTGATAGCATAGTCTAGGAAAACAGTTTAAGATCAGACACACTTTTCAAACACTGGTTGGTAAATAAGAGAACTTTCTGGAAGGAAATAATCTTCAGTGAGAGAGTAACAAGTCAAAAAGAAGAGTGTAGCCCAAACCAAACCTGAGCTCAACATTTTTAAGTGTGGAAATGCACATGGCATTTTTTCGGAGATGTTTGTTTCCCACTTTGTAGTTCTTTGGTAGTAAAATAACAGCACAAAACCCCAAGTCTCAGAGCTCATGCTCCACAGCAAGTAAAACACAGTACTTGGTAAAAGAACTTCAAACAGAGAAAATCTGCATTGCTTTTTTCTCTCTTCCCAAAGAAAAGGCTGCACGGGGAGGTTCCCAGGGCTACGCCTGAAGGAAATGCTCTACTTTTCATGGGTCTGCAAACTAATGGCAAATAGTGCTACCTGCTACTTCTCCCGCTACACCACAAAGAACTAACCCAGATGAAATTCTCTGACTCTTAGCATATAAATACTAGCTTCGTTTAAGCACATTTTTCTTCCAAACTTTCGCAAAAGAAGACTTGGAAGAGAATCAAGAGAGCCCTTGTCATTGCTGAATCTGAAGTCAGAAGTCACTCTGCTGTCACAGATTGTTCTGGAAACTAAATACTTTCATCCAAGAGACGGACATTTTCAATAGTTTGTGACAAAAGATTTTTAAAAAATAGAATTTACCTAAATTAGGGGAAGAGGGCAAAGGTGGAGCAAGAAGGCACTTTTAACAACAAAAAACAAAGGAAACAGCTCAGCTCCTCTAACAATAATTGAGCAATTTTCTCTCAACAAGCTTGTTGCCCCAGCTGCTAATTCTGATCCTCCTGGTACAATCTGCCTCCTTCACAATTGTGCTGATAAATCTATTTGTATAGCTGCAGTGTAAACTGCATCACTGAGGTGCTCCCTTCTAAAATTACTTCCACCCCTCAATTAATGTGATTCAGTGATTCAATTCTAAAACCAGATGCATCAGCACAAAGAACTGTGAGCCATGGTCTAAAAGTGAAAACTTCACAAACCAGTTTATATCTGAAGCCAAGGCACAACTACCAACTTTGAGAGATATGTTACTATGCTTTACAGAAGGAAATGGAGATTATCAATTACAAGAATACCAGTATGTTGATTAATTACAGCTTAATGTACAATCAACTATTTGAAAAAATTGAAAAGCACTGAAAGCTCTTGAAAGAAGAATGGTGGCTTGACATTAATATCTATTTTTACACAGAATGGAAGGAGGCTATTTCTGAAAAATGAGAATGTGATGCTTGAGGAAGAAAGAAAACTGCAGAAAAGATTCTAACCATGCAAAAAGAGCTCTCTGTTAGGGAAAAATACTGGAAGAACTTGTGACCCAACAACATATGGAAATAACACTATCTTTAAAATTCCAGCTGATACTGATTTTGAGCTCAGACCATGGAAAGCTCATCTGTAAACATCTGGAACTAAAACCTGAAAATGATTCCATGTGTGGAGAAAGAAGAAATAACATTTCTAAAATGAAAAACAAGAAAGGGAATGATACCAATGACATGATTATTCTGTCTGACATATAAATCAGATAATCCTGAAAACAGCTAGAGCCACAGGGTGATCATTTACCGAGGCTCTAGCGTATATTCATTCTCTGACCTAAGCTACAGCACCAGCATAATGGAAAGAGCATGTAAAACTTTAGTACATAGATGAAGAAGTAGTAACAGCTGTCCTGCTTCCAAATACATAAATACAATTTTATAAACACACACTGTAGGTATGTGCATGTATATATAGATATCTACATACATATATATACACACACACACGCTTGCTTCTTCTATGCATGGCAAGTATTTAAGATGAATTCAAGCTCTTTGAAGCATTTTCCAAAATCAGCACATCTGGCATCTGTGAGGTCATAGGACCACAAATATGCATACTTTTGTATTATTTTCATGGAATTTCAGAACGTTAGATAACAAGGGCATAGAGGCTCTGGCTGAGATCAGCCCAGTGCCATGACCCATTTTCCATGTAAGTACTTGATGCAAATATGAAGTTGTGATGCACCTGAAATATGCTAGTGAACACAACTCATTTATTTGAGGAAGCTAAACCAAAATTTTCACTTAGAACTGTTTAAATATAGCTAAAAGGCATTTACTTCCAGACCTAGTTAGAGAAATGGAGATGTCAGTCACCCAGGTTGGAGGCAATCAAGCCCTAGAACTCCCCAGGCAGAATGAAACTTTTGAGAACTCCCTCATCTACATCTATGCCAAGTTTTCTCAGTGAACTTCAAAGTGCCATCAACAATGTCTTGAATGTATGACACTGACATGGAAAAAATTATGCATACTACACACTCTCTTCTTCCAGCTCAGCTGTGGAATATTAACCTCTGAACAGGAAGAAAGAGGGGCAGAAGCAAGCACGTGGGGACTGCTCATATCTTTGACTGCTATAACCCTCTTTCAGTGATCATTTAAAAATGGTCTTGGCTTAAACTGAAAAAAAACACTGAATGGCTTTGCTGATGGGTGAAATTACACATGGCTAGGGAATACCTTGATAACATGCCTACTACTCAAAATAAGTCCATATAATTTTCTGACTGGCACAGAACGTCTTTCTTCAAAATGTTCCAGAGCCGCATGTACAATTTGTGCAAAAAAGATGTTGGACAATATAAACAGTAATGACACTGCAAACTAGAACTTAAGATGTCCTCCTGCAAATACAGGCTGCAGAAGAATCATAATAGCAATTTTGATCTCAAAATCTTACATATCTGGCCAAAACCCGGCTTTATTTCAACAGCAAGAGCAAATAACAATATTCAAAGAGGATGAGGACATCCTTATTTCATCCCATGCACCAAGTTTCCCCAGCTCAGCTCTACAGTCTGTGCAAAGAAAGGTTTTTTTTAACCTCTCACAGTGACTCAGAACAGCTAAAACCACAGTATCTATTCTAAACAGGCTTTGAGGAAAAGGAAAACAAGAGAGAAGTTCTCTGATAACTGGAATGACTCTCTGGAAGACTAGTCCCACCAGGATCCAAAAGTTAGCCTCTGTATCTCTCATGTCCACAGCTTGTAGAAAGTAGAATCGAGTAGCAAATGGGAGATGCAAATTTCTCCCGTCTTAGAAAGAACTCAAATTAATCTCCACTTTTCATTCCTGGGAGACCTGTTCTAATAGACGTACTTTATTTCATATGCAGATATTAAAGCATTTTCATCTCCAAATACAATTTTGAATTAATATGACCTGGTGGCACTTTTTTTGAATGCTCTTGGCTTCATGGCCACGTGAAAGCCTCTTCAATAGAATTCATCCAGAAAACTGCACATGCCAGGCTTGAGCAATTATATGCAGGAGATGGGCAAACTCCAGTGCAGAAAGGGGTACTTCTGCTCACAAAGACAAGCAGGACCAGCAAATATGATAAAGACCACATCCATTATGTGGATATGATGATTTAGCATATGAAATTGATACCCTTGATTTAATCTAACTTCCAACACCTTATTCTTTTTCTTCACAGCCTTTCCTGGATTTTTTTTCAGTGTTTTCAGCATTCCATACATTTCAAGATTCATGTAACACTCTCTCGCCTCCACCAGAACTCTTTCAGAGCAACACGACGCAAGTCTAGACTCTCTGAGCAGATCTGCACCATATGTACACAGCCCACCATCAGTGCCTGTGAGTCAGTACTTCATCTTCAGAGATGCCTGTTCTCAGCTCCTCATCCAAAGGCCAAAGACCCCCAAGGCTCAGTTAACATGGGGTTGTGCCTCAGAAACCACGTTAAATAGCCTGCAACCTTTAGATACTAACTCACTTTGAGAAGACCCAACATGCCCAGCAATCACAACTTTGCATCTGTGATT